ATATATCTATATAATATATATAATACATTGTATATATATATATATATATATATATATATATATATATATACATATATATATTTATTATATTATACATTATATATATATATATATTATATATATAAACGTACACTAGCAAGTTTATTCCATATCCCCGCTACAGCGGCCTGTATGAGTATTTGTATATGTTTGAGTTTATTAATATGTGCTATTTCTTTTTGTTTTATTTTCATTTCTTTTTGTTTAAGTTTATGTTGTATACGCAGATGCAGAGACAAACGCTCAGCTGTCTCCGTTGCTGCTGCTAGCTGTCTCTGCTGCTCTCTATCCTTCACACTCATCGCCGAGGCCCCCAGGGGCCTCACCGGGTTACCCCGGGGGCCCCCCTCACCCAGCATGTGCAGCTTCAGCAGGGCTTCTTGCTGTATACACATAAAACAATATATATATTTGTATGTGTTTAGATGGATATATATATATATATATATATATATATATATATATGTCTGTATGTATGTATGTATAGATATAGATGAATAGATATAGATGTATAGATAGAGGTGTATAGGTATAGATGTATAGATATAGATATAGATATAGATATAGATATATAGATATAGATATAGATATAGATATAGATATAGATATATAGGTATAAAGGGAATATAATGTAGAGGAATATAGTATAAATCTATGTGGATTTTTATTTGCATTTATATTTATAGTTATATAGAAGTCGATAGAGAGACAGACACGGAGACAGAGAGAAAGATATAGATAGATGGGGAGACTCGTGATAGAGACAAAGAGAGACACACACAGACGGACAGAGAAAGAGAAAGAGAGAAAAAGAAAGAGAGAAAAAGAAAGAGAGAAAGAGAAAGAGAGAAAGAGAAAGAGAGACAGAGAAAGAGAGACAGAGAAAGATAGAAAAAGAAAGAGAGAAAGAGAAGGAAAAGGAGAGGGAAAGAGAGACACAGAGAGAGAGACAGAGAGAGAGAAAGAGAGAAACAAACAAACAAACAAACAAACAACCAAACAAACAAAAAAACACACAAACAAACAAAACAACCAACAAACAAACAAACAAACAAAAAAAACAAAAAAACAAAAACAAAAAAACAAAAAAAAACAGAGTGATGTGTTTTTTGTTTACCTCCATGTGCTGTAGATTAGCTAATCTGGTTGCTTTCTCCGCTAATTCTTTTTTGTGTTTTTCTTTTTCTTTTTCTTTTTCTTCTTTTTCTTTTTCTATTTCTTCTTTTGTTTTCTCCTTTTCCTTCTGCGGTGTCTGTACAGGTGCAGGCGTCTCCTTTTCTTTTTCTGTTTCTTTTTCTGTTTCTTTTTCTTTTTCTTCTTTTTCTTTTTCCTTTTCTTTTTCTTTTTCTTTTTCTTTTTCTTCTTTTTTCTCTTCTGCTCCCTTCTGCGGTGTCTGTACAAGAGTAGGTGCCTTCACAGCTGGTATTTCTTTTTCTGTT